TAAATATGAAGTGGAAGCTACCCCTTCCAGAGAGGAATTACGACACAGGACGTAGCCTAACCTTAACATGAAACAGCCTCTCTTAATCCGGTTTATAGCATGATTCAGCCCGCGAAATAGTGAAAATTTCAGAATAGATAAATTATATATAGTCTTTATCTACGGACCAGGGTTTGGCCAAAAATGTGACGCATGGCTGTTTTCAGTAATTGGCATATTTTCGGTATAAAAAGTCGTAATTTCCAACTCCAAATATGTGCAAGGAGACAGAATTCGGCTCAAAAATCAGTATGTCACCTATGCACATATTTAATAAGTCAATATTGACTTATTAAATTTCCGAGAACGGGTTGCAACCCATAACAACAATGTCTCTGAGTCCTCCCCGCCTCTGGTCTCCTCTACACGCTCTCCCTTTCTCTCTCGCCACTCTCTCTCTCTATCTCTCTCTCCTACCAGTTGTTGAAGAGATAAGTCGAAAAAAGACGATTAGAATTATCATGTGTGTGTGTACTGGGCCTGATTTTAGGATATCTTTAATGTCTAATGCGAACGAACACTGACTTCAACGGATGTTCTCATTCATACATATATGATATACGCACATTTACAGTAATTAAGAACATAAGAATGAAAGTAGCATTCACTGGAAAGGCAAAAAGTTAGGGGTGACATGATAGAGGTTTTCAAGTGGATGAATGGACATAACAAAGGGGATATTAATAGGGTATTAAAAGTATCAACAGAAGACAGAACACGAAACAATGGGTATAAATTGGATAAGTTTAGATTTAGGAAAGACTTGGGTAAATACTGGTTCGGTAACAGGGTTGTTGATTTGTGAAACCAATTACCGCATAACGTGGTGGAGGTGGGGTCCCTCGATTGTTTCAAATGTGGGTTGGACATGTATATGAGTGGGATTGGGTGGTTATAAATAGGAGCTGCCTCGTATGAGCCAAAAGGCCTTCTGCAGTTACCTTCATTCTTGTGTTCTTGTGTGTAACTGCAGAAGGCCTATTGGCGCATACGAAGCATCTCCTATTTATAACCATCCAATCCCACTCATATACATGTCCAACCCACGTTTGAAACAATTGAGGAACCCCACCTCCACCACGTTACGCGGTAATTGGTTCCATAAATCAACAACCCTGTTACCGAACCAACATCCCAAATCTTTCCAAAATCTAAACTTATCCAATTTATACCCATTTTTTCGTGTTCTGTCTTGTGTTGATACTTTTAATACCCTATTAATATCCCCTTTGTTATGTCCATTCATAAGTAGATGTAAGAGCATTAGAACAAAGGTAACTGCAGAAGGCCTATTGGCCCATACGAGGCAGCTCTTATCTATAACCACCCAATCCCACTCATATACATGTCCAACCCGCGCTTGAAACAATCGAGGGACCCCACCTCCACCACGTTACTCGGTAATTGGTTCCACAAATCAACAACCCTGTTACCGAACCAGTATTTATCCAAGTCTTTCCTAAATCTAAACTTATCCAATTTATATCCATTGTTTCGTGTTCTGTCTTGTGTTGATATGATATAACAGGTGGAGGTGGGATCCCTCGATTGGTTGGACATGTATATGAGTGGGATTGGGTGGTTATAGATTGGAGCTGCCTCGTATGAGCCAATAGGCCTTCTGCAGTTGCCTTTGTTCTTATGTCCTACTTTTAATACCCTATTAATATCCCCTTTGTTATGTCCATTAATCCACTTGTAAACCTCTATCATGTCACCCCTAGCTCTTCGCCTTTCCAATGAATGCAATTTAAGCTTTGTTAATCTTTCTTCATATGAAAGATTTCTAATTTGGGGAATTAACTTTGTCATCCTACGCTGGACACGTTCAAGTGAATTTATATCCATTATAGAGTACGGCGACCAAAACTGAACATTACATTAGTCTAAGCAAGAGCATCAATAAGATCTTTAACTCAGGAATGCTGCACCAAGGTGATGTTGCTTTGAAAACTTTTGCATAAGATCATAAGAACAAAGGTAACTGCAGAAGGCCTATTGGCCCATACGAGGCAGCTACTATCTATAACCACCCAATCCCACTCATAAACATGTCCAACCCACGCTTGAAACAATCGAGGGACCCCACCTCCACCACGTTACGGGGTAATTGCTTCCACAAATCAACAACCCTGTTACCGAACCAGTATTTACCCATTATATTTGCACATTGCATTTCACTCATGTGCCAAAAAAAATACAGTATACGATTAAAAAGGACATCACAAAAGGAAATAATTGCAAGAAAACACAAAAAACGGAATATCTGCAACCCTTTTTTCTGATTTCTGGGCTTAGCATCCCTGCAGCCTGGTCCTTGACCAGGCCTCCTTTTTTTTTTTTTTGTTACACATCCCCAGGAAGCAGCCCATGGCAGCTGTCTAACTCCCAGGTAACTATTTACTGCTTGGTGAACAGTTGCATCAGGGTGAAAGAAACTCTGCCCATTTGTTTCAGCCTCTGCTGGGGATCGAACCTGGAACCTTAGGACTACAAACACTGAGCGCTGTCCACTCAGCCGTCAGGCCCCTTATCTCCTTGTCCACTACAAATTTTCTCCCAATATTCGTACAAAATCTGAGCATACTGTACTGAATACAAATCAGCTGGACCATGAAATCTGCAAATCTGTAGAAAAATTGTATTTCTGTACAGTACTGTACAGTGTATGTAAATTAGTTTTTAATTCAATATTTAAACCAATTTTAGACTAAAAAAAAATAAAGTAGAAAAACAATAATTCATATACTGTATAAATTGTCAACAACTTATTTTGCCATGCATTACTATATGCAGTTAACCCTTTCAAAGCAATAAAGCCTACATCAGTTAGGGCAAGAGACATTACAAAATTAGAACAAATAATAAATTGTCAACTACTATACCCTGCTATCATTGTGTAACCCCGAGGGTAACATTTTTACCTCATTAAACATTTTAATATGCTGTTACTTGAACATAAAGCACAGAGCCCTTAGGTGATCAATGTTAAAGCAAAGAATATTTATAATTTCAAAATTGAATACCCCACTACTACTGATATTCTGTATATTATTGATTGTAAGGTTAAAAAAAATAATAAATAAAATATTATTGCATTTAATTGATAATTTGTTTTCATAAAACAACTACATATAACAATAGAAATTTATAACAATTGAATAAAATGCATAATACTGTATTAGTACCGTATAACAATAAAATATTTACAAATTATAATATCTTCTTAAATTAATGACTAGACAATGTGCATTTTTATCAGTTTATATAAATATACAATATATGTCATCTATTATAACTTCAAACCTAAATTCATAACTAGTAAGCATTTTGATCCCAAGTACAGTTCAGTAGTCAGGAGTGCTTGGTTTAACTTTGGCAGCTACTTCAGCATAGCTAAAACTAGCATTATTGTTTAGCTCTACAAAACTACTGGGATATGATACAGGCATAGAGAAGAAAGACTCATTGTTTCCTTGAGAAATAATATCATTACAATTCATTTCTAATGAAATATCTGGCATAATATTCCCATTATGACGTGTTAAATGATTCTGCCCCATTATTATATTTATTGAATGATGGACACCATTATACAAAGGTTGAATCTGTATAGCATTTTTAGTTTCTGAAGAAATATCTGGCATAGTATTGAGCTTAGGTTGCACAACATGGTTTGGCCCTATTGCTCTCTGAAGTGTATTACTAAGGACATCACTACCAGAATATTGTTCTGTGGCCACAGCAGCTGCCCAAGATACACCTGGTGAATCTACCTTAATGAGAGGTATTGTACTGGTAGTTGTATGCTGCTGGAAATTTGAGGAGAAAGTAGCTGCAGAACTGCTCTCAAAGTCAGTCGTACTAGATGAGGCAACTGAACTTGATACTGTATTGTGCTCTATGGATCCAATGTAATTTTTATCTTTCTCTAAACTTGATGCTGTGTTGTGCTCTGTGGATCCATTGTAATTTCTCTCTTTCACACACAAACTGGAAGGTCTTGAACATTTTACTTCATTAACTGCTCTTGCATCTTCCGATTTCTCTTCCGCTGGTATCTGATTAGTTTCACTTAAAGATAACACATGGAAATGTTGCAAGCAATCTTGTAAGGAAACAATTGCAGATGTTACTTCATCAGTATTTTTTGGAGGAGTTATGGAAAGTTTACTGAACTTCATTATGACATCAGGTGTGTGAGGCAAGTCCTTGACACGGTTTGCCAATCTATGATCTCGTTTTGCCTTTGCTTTATGCCGTTTACTAACCCTAATGAAACCACCTTCCTCATCCTTTGGCTTTGAATAATAGGAGCCTGAAGTATCTGGTGGAAGCATTAAGGAAATATTTCTAGTCTCTGTAGAGGTTGATGGTTGGTTTAGAGTACTTGTATCATCGGAAACGAGTTGGCCGCTAGGTAACTCTTTTGAACACGACGCAGTAATTGGTATTTTGGTTGAAGCACTTGGAGATGGAAAATTGGTTGACCTTGGGGTAGATGGTGTGGTAACTGGTGTTTGACTTGGGGTATCAGGAAATAGGAGCAGGCTAGATGAAGATGCTGGTGTAGCAGGAGTGGTACCACCCACTGAAGACTGTAAATACGAGATAAGTACCCGGCACAAGTGTTTTTGCTCTTCGTAAGGTTCTTTACTTGCCTCGTATTCTTCCCTGGAAATAAAGATTATTAATTGTAACAATATTTAAATGACTAAATTTCATTTACAGTATACATTTTTATTTTAGACATTAAAAAAATCAAGTAGTTACAGAGAGGTGAAGTATATTCTGAGTATTCAAGCCAATTTAAAGGTAAGAGGAGACAGGCTAAGAAGATGGACAGAAAGTGAGCATGCACAGAAGTAGGAATTAAGTATGGCAGAGCACAAGACGTGGTAGGAAATATTACCACAGTTCTCTGAACCAATTTGTTAAGGAGGAACATTTGACCTATAAATTTACAAATAACTCATAGGAAGATCTTTACAAATAGCTGTATGAAGCAGATGCGTGTTGCTTTGGATGCTTTGCTGGAGTGTGGCTGTGCTGATCCTACATGATACTGTAGTATTTATTATAGAACACCAGGAAATGAATGGGGCATCTGTTTGTAACTTTTGATTCTTTTCTAGACGTCTCAATTCTTTCAGGCAGATGCCTTCCTACTCCATGAAAGTAGTTTGAAATAGGATGAAGATAGTGGTGTAAATAAATTTGAAACCGAGATTCTTAGGGCAGCTGTTTTAATAATCATTAAAATTTAATAAATTTTATACTATATATTGGTTCATTCTCTGGCAGAAATATTTTGTAGGAGTACAACAAATACATCTCTAGTTTACTACACGAAAGGTTCTTGAAAGTGAAAGTAGGGGATGGAACAGCAAAGGTGTTTAAAAGTGCACTCTTCATTAACAATTTGCAAGTGGCCAAAATACCTTCACACTGCTAAATCAAATGCCATCTGTTTGTATTAATAACAACTAATGGAGTGTGTTTTCACAGAATGATAACAAAGGCAGCACATCAAAAGTGTACAATGCATGTACTCTTCCAATAAAGTGTATATGCATTACAGATATTGCAAGCAATGAAGAGCAGCTGTGTAATGCAACAATAAACCAAGTACTACTCAAATTAAATATTTAACTTATTCACATGCACCACAATTATTGCAACAGTAATCAAATTCAAACCACATACTGCAAAATTCTAATGAAGAAAATATTATCAAATGGACAAATACCCAAATGTCAGTACTGCAATAATTAAAATATGCTCATTCTTACCATTCCTACAAACATAATTTCTACGTACATAATACAGTGCTCTAAAGATAACTGCTCGACCAATTTTTGCTACCAGCTGCAGCTGATTTATTGTACTGTTGTATGCAAGCAGCCTGAGCACATGTAATTCAACATAAATAAGATTTCAAGACTTTTCCAACAATATTAAGTGCACGTACAATATAATTATACAACTACTTACCATAGTTTTCGTCTTTCTTCATGGCGCTCTCTTGTCAATTCTTGTCGTAAACGTTTTTTCTCCTCATATCGCTTGTTACGTACAGCTTGCTGCTTTTGATGATTGGCCATCCAGACTTGTTCCAATGCAGGTTTCATTTGTCTAAGTTGTTCAATAGCTGGTGGAATGAAAGGAAGCATTTAATTATTATAATTTATGAAATAATTGTTACCAACTGTCAGATATACACCTGAATACTGTGGCAGAACAGTTAAAACCTTACATCAAAACTAGGCTAAAGTGACATTGGAGCATCATTAGAGAAGGACATTATGACTCAATGCTTGAGCATTATGGATTGGTTTGACAAAATACCTGAATCATAAGTAGCATGTTCATTAACAGAAACAAATGTAGACTCAAATTTAAATTAATAACTCATAAATAGTAGAATTTTGAATAACTAGTATAATATGGTTATTCGTGACAACAATTTCTACCTTCATCTATCACTTTGGAGAATGTATGCAAGAATATGCAAACTGAGTGCAAATGCACAATTGTCCTAAGAATATGTGGTGGAACCAAAGTCAATCAAAAGGAGGGAACATCTATTTAAGTCTGGAGAAAGACCCCAGGGCAAGACTGTGGGAATCAAGGTAGCCAAAGGGAGAGGTTTGGTGTGTCCTTTTCCCAGTCAACTACTCCATAATCAACTAATATTGGCAAAGCTGTACAAGACAAAATTAAATTGATAGTATCCACTTACTCTTTTTATTTGACGTTATATCTCCTCGGACACCAGCTATTTTCTTCTTCATTTCATCTTCTTGTGAATACAGTGCTCTGATCTTGGAGTAATTATTATTGCGCTCCTCGATAAGCCTCGCTCGCTCTCCACGATACTTTTTGTTCTCAGCCTGAAACATTTGTTTCCTTAGTTCTAAATAGTATTTTCCATTATATAAAACCAAGTAATTGTTGCAGTTTAATTGATAACAGAAAGGAAACTTTATCCCAAACAACTGCATTAGAATAATCCTCCTAATGGCACCTACTGATTCCCATTGATACATCATGTTAATTTGATTTCTTTGTGCAATGCATGCATTATATATATATATATATATATATATATATATATATATATATATATATATATATATATATATATATATATATATATATATATATATATATATATATATGTCGTACCTAGTAGCCAGAATGCACTTCTCGGCCTACTATGCAAGGCCTGATTTGCTTAATAAGCCAAGTTTTCATGAATTAATATATTTTCTCAATTTTTTTTCTTATGAAATGATAAAGCTACCCATTTCATTATGTATGAGGTAATTTTTTTTATTGGAGTTAAAATTAACGTAGATATATGACCGAACCTAACCAACCCTACCTAACCTAACCTAACCTATCTTTATAGGTTAGGTTAGGTTAGGTATCCGAAAAAGTTAGGTTAGGTTAGGTTAGGTAGGTTAGTTAGTCGAAAAACAATTAATTCATGAAAACTTGGCTTATTAGGCAAATCGGGCCTTGCATAGTAGGCTGAGAAGTGCGTTCTGGCTACTAGGTACGACATATATATATATATATATATATATATACACACACACACACACACATATACACACACACACACACACACAATTTCATATATATACATTACATACAACATACTAGTAATACTGTACTAACCTGCTTAGCTTCATATTCCCGAAGTGTTTTGACTGATCTCTGAAGCATAGATATTTCATCCAAAATTTTCTGCTCTTCCCTTGGTTTGAAATTGTTATTTCGCAGCTGGTACTCCAATCTCTCAATATTACCATAAATCTGCTTTACACTATGATACCGCAGCTGAAAACAAAAAGATGCCTTTAATGCTTTTAATAATGGGTACAATCATTCTGGATAATGATATACTTCCACACTCAAGCAGTCTTAACTAAGTCTTCTACGTAGCTGCCTAGAATTCAGCCTTTTCTATGCAATGCATAAGTTTCCTGTACTGTACTTCATACATATTGTCTATATCAGTTACCAATAACTGCCTGCCACCACATTCAATACATCCCATTTCTACTGTTCTGTATAAAGAATACTGTATTGATATTCACATGTATACGCAAAACTATGTATATAGAGTAGAATCTTGATTCAATGAACCTCAAATCAGCTAATCTCCAGTTGGAATAAACACTCCATGGCAGATTTACTCACCTGATTCAAAGAACAAGAGTTCCCTGAAGCAGGGGATGTGGGGATTTGCTTAGGATGTTGGGACCAAGTTCATAGATGTAGGCAACATTACAAGAAGTTGGGCCCTGGGAAAGCCACTGAGCATATTTAAATCAAATTCTATGTTTTTTTCCCCCAGTTGCAGAGGTTTTTATTCAGTAAAATATGGGCCGCCTTTCTTTTGAAAACGAGATTTCGAGACTTGGGCGTGGAAAATATACTAGATGGTTAAATCTTTTACAGACAGGTTCTCTTTGTTGTTGCTCTTCATATGACAGGTTGAAATTAAAATTTTGCTCAGTGAAATCAGCCCTTAGAGTGTCAGAAATATTAGGGGGTATTAATATGGTTCCAATCATGGTTTTGATGATTTTTGTAAATAGACAACATTACAATAAACAGTTGGAGACTTGGGGAAAGCTATTGTGGACATTTAAAACCAAATTCTATGGTTTGTTTTAATTTTGAGTTGGCAAGGTTTTTGTTCACTCAGATATGGTCCTGCTACATTTTGAAAATGAGTTTTGAGGCTGGGAACATGAGAAATAAGCTAGATATGGTTAAATTTGTTTGGAGACATGTTCATTTGATAGTTATCTATTATATTATAGGTTGAAATTAAAATTTTGCTCAAGTAATATCAGCATATAGAGTATGGGAAATGCATCCTGGAGACATCTCTAATCCCAACAAATCCCTCACTGCAATGAACTGGGGTCGGTCCCATATAGTTCCTTGAATCGAGGTTCTACATATATTACTTTAGTCTTTTTAAAAGATGGCAACAATAAACCTCTGATCACATGTATGTTAGTTTACTGTACACAATGAATTCTACATTAATACAGTAATACAAATTCTGCTAGGAGCTGTTTGAAATAGATACAAGTAGTGACTCAAAATCTCTAAATGCTATGTTAATCTATATCCTATACTTTTTTATATAATAACCAAGCAGTATTATGAATTGTGATTTATAGTTTCCTCTAGCCTGGTATGTTCCATATTTTTAATAGTTTTTCTTTTAGATATCTTGCATATTTGCAAATTTAAAATTAATACCAATGCAAAACTAAAACTACAGTAATGTATTTTGACTCGTCTAAAAAATAACTATTTTTATGCAACCTGTCCTCAGTGAGGAGGTAGGCTGGACAATCATTTCAAAACCAAGAATGAAATTAGCATCATTAACTACTCCCTATTCATGGTTAGGTTAAGGTTAGGTTATGTTAATATGGTGTATTATTCTCAAATGTCAGATATAAAATTTGAAAACTATTTGAGTATCCCATAGAATGTTATTTACAGACAAACAAATTCTTCAGACCATTTCAAAGAAAATTAGTTAAGCATGAACTTTTTATATTTTAAACCAATGGTTATAAAGATATAACTTCAGAATATTTTCTATTTAGGACAAAGGTTCCTTTGCCAGTTTACAAGTAAACTACTATTGGAACTTTAATATGCTTTCAGACCATTACAAATACAGTATTGGGTATTTAGATAAACATCCAGGTGTCCTAATGACGAGACTAGTAATTAGGATCACTTTATGCTGAGAATGGACTGGTTTTACTCCATGCTTCATGCAATAAAGTTTGTTTTTTGCCAGAAGTGGCCAATGACCAGAGATTAATAAGGAATGTACAGTACTGTATATTGTACTATAGTCAAGAAATAACTTTGTTAAATTATCAGAGTTTACTGGTACTACAAATCAAGATTCCCTCACTTATCCAGACATCTAATCCACATTGTATAATTAGGACACAAGCTTAAATAATTAAAATTATAATATGCATCCAGATTTCCACCGAGAGGAAATCTGGATAACTGAGACATCAATGTACATTATTTATAAACAAACTAATTATCCAAGAATCTCTGCAGTGCAACATGTTGTATGAATACAGTCACCAAGTCGGCCAGAGAAGAATATTTCCTTTTCCATATCATTGCTGATGCTTTGGAGTCTATTCAACCATTTTAATATGCATATTACAATAGTGTAATTTAAAAAATGTGCACATATAGAGTAGTACATACCTTTTGCTTCAGGTGTGTAACTTCCTCTGAAATTGTATTTATGGCTATATTTGCACTGTTGATTTCATGCTGCAAGGTTTCCTTCACCTGCGCTAATGGCTGTTTTTTCTCGCGCACACTTTTTATCTGCTCCGTCAGTTGTGTCTGAGGAGAGATTAACATCACAATGAATACCATTATGTACTGTAGTGAATATGTAAATGTTATTTTGGCTATTTTTTATTCATATACATTCCAGAGATAATAGAAATTCAGCAGCTCAGCCCTAGCCATAAGACAACATATTTTATCCTAGTCACAACTTCAAAGAACTTACCAGCTCCAATGATTTGGCCTGCACAAAAGCCTGATGAGTTTCCAGATTACAATTATACTCCGATTGGCTCATCATAACTGGAGATGCATCTGCAAGTTAAAAATCATTATATTAGAAGAATTATATTTTTTATAATAGAAAAAGTTATCCTTTTCTGTACAGTATTTCTATATGCAGTACATGCATACATATCACACCTATCATCCTATTCTGAATTACTTCATTGCAATATATCATATACAATTTTTTTTTTACCTAACCCAAAACACGTATTACACGATTATAGGTGTGTTGTCATAACTCTCAACACACCTGTAGAGTACTGTACTCCATGTTAATTTTAACTTTATGCATTTTGAAGATTTTCATTAAATTTCCTTGCCAAAACTAGTGACAAAAAGATTAAGGAATATGCTGTAGAAACCCTTAAACTATGCAAATGTCACGTTTAAAGGAAGACTACGATGTATTTAACTCATCGATGCAAAACTTGCTAGCCTATGTGGATAAGATCACTGTTATACCCAAGGCACTTCACTGTTGACCATGACGATCACTTTCTACTGCTCTAAACAATTCTGAGTAATCAGGAATTGCTGAGGCACCTTCTATATTTTATATTAAAAAAAATCCACATTCATTTGACCAAAACTTCAGCTGTATAATTCATGTATGTGATTATACACAGCACCGTAGGTCTCTATTAAATTATGATACAGCATAGCTATTCAAAAGGACACATGTATATTATAACATGTACATAGTTGTGCTGTTCACTTTTAATTCATAGCTACATAAAGATCCTAAACATGAAAAAAATAACAGCATAGTGTCTGACTTTCTAATTAATTAGGACTACATTAATGATAGGACATAACTACAACACAAGTAATTCAGCGAATGCTTGGCTCACCTGAAGCGTGACCATCTTATGACCCATGCCAAGCTTGAAGTGTGACCTTCACCTTATGACTCATGCCAAGCTTGAAGCGTGACCTTCACCTTATGACTCATGTCAAGCTTGAAGCGTGACCTTCACCTTATGACTCATGCCAAGCTTGAAGCGTGACCTTCACCTTATGACTCATGCCAAGCTTGAAGCGTGACCTTCACCTTATGACTCATGCCAAGCTTGAAGCGTGACCTTCACCTTATGACTCATACCAAGCTTGAAGCGTGACCTTCACCTTATGACTCATACCAAGCTTGAAGCGTGACCTTCATCTTATGACTCATACCAAGCGTGACCTTCACCTTATGACTCACAACAACTATGTGGCGGGACGACACCTCGCTACCCCCCAACATCAATTCCTCCTTCCCTCCCTCCCTCACAAACATCACAGCAACTCGTCACTCGTCCAGACTTACCAGGAGTTTGAGGTGGGTTTGGTAGGGTGTTATCCATGATGCCATGAGAGGGGGTGAGGCGTAGAGGCGAGTAATATGCCTGGGGCTACAGGTGGAGGCCAGCGGCCGCGCACACTCAATGTTGTTGTTGTGGTCGCTGGCCGCCTCTCAATACTCGCGTAGACGTCTACCTCACAACCTCTATACGCATCAACAATCTCAATTATTTCCGTATATACCACACTAGAGAAATTCCTACAATGTATTTTACCGAATACACTTCAGATGTGATGCACTTACTGCATATCAGTTTATATTCCGTAGTTTTATATACTGTCTATTTGCAGTAGGTTCATATATATATGTTTATCACAAGTAAATTTCAGGCTATAATACATACTGCGTATAGGCCTATCACAATGGCATTTCGTCAACTGATACACATTTTTAACATGACACAAGATAAGGAACATCTGCTCTGACTGAGGCCAGCACCACGTCTGGGTCCGCTGGGATAGTGCACATTCCCTCTAGGTCATTGCAAGAGGGTCCGTAACGTGGTGCAATATTGCATTCGTAGCCTGGCTATTGCCACGTTGTGTCTCCCTCCTGATGCCTTCACTATGCCCACTTTCTACGCAAGTACAGAGGCATCTTTGAATTCCCACAGCCCACCTTATATATGCTTATATATTTGCATTGTAATAAGCGATCATCGATCTCAACGTTGCATAAACATACATTGTAATATAATCAATGTATATTTTTATAAATATATTATTATTATTATTATTATTATTATTAGTAGTAGTAGTAGTAGTAGTAGTAGTAGTATTAATATTATATACCTCATCAATATTTGTAAGGTTAATCATCATATAACTCTGCAAATGAGCCTAAGTGAGTTACATAAGATTAACCTGCTCTTCATATCCACTCACGAAATGAACTGCCAAATGTCCACAAAAACGACCTTGAGCTTAAGATAAGAGATACATTAGCAGAGACAGGCCTGACGATCACTACGATGATCATTGCATCACACACACACACACAGTCACCCAGGGAGTAACCACAGTGTTTGGAAGGTCCAGTGTAACGCAGCACACACACGAAGGCCAACACCTGATCAAGCTCTTCAATTACCCACAATGGACAGAATACACGAGATGATTTTTCACCCATAGGCAGACGAGGAGTCACAATAACATGGCAGAAATATGTTGACCAGACCACACACTAGAAAGTGAAGGGAAGACGACGTTTCGGTTTGTCCTGGACCATTCTCAAGGCGATTGTGAATTTACAATCGACTTGAGAATGGTCCAGGACGGACCGAAACATCGTCGTCTCTTCACCCATAGGAGTAATAAATATTGATTCGCCTAACAACCAAAGCCCCCCTACATTGTGGCTTGTTGAGCTTGAAGCTGTTGCTCCTTGTATGTGTTAATTTGACTTTTTAAATAAGTGGTCCGGACTAATATCCTTCAACTTGTTCAGTACTTATCGATAAGATCTGCACTGCCATGTCTGGTTTACGATGTTGTTAGTCCCTCAACCGTTCTTGGTATGAGTTTGGAGAGGAGGTAGAAATAGCCTAAGCTACTATTCCTCTGAGATGTATTTTTTCTTGTCTCAATAAACATACCTGAACTTGAACTTAACTTACGTCTATATGTACTATATAACATTCGGCACCATGGGATCCTAAAAATCTGAACGGTGTAATATACCAGATCAAAATGGTAGCAGACTGACAGTGGGAATATGCTACAGGGAAGACACAGCAACAACAAAGAAAGTTACAGATCTGCATAATGTCATAAATGCTGCAGATGAAGTCCAAGGTCTTATAGTGGGGGACTTTAAACCTGAGGCAATAGACTGGGTGAATCTAATATCACAAATGGAAAGGGGAACAATTTCTTGACCTGGAACAGGACTCCTCTCTCATACAGCATGTGCCTGAGCCCATTCGATGTAATAGCATTCTAAGTCTTGTGCTAAAACCAGAAGCGGGCATGATCTATTAAATACAAGTATGGGAAAGCTCGCCCCTTCGTGTGATCACAATATTCTAAGATGGATCACAATTATAGGAAACCATGTAAAGGATCAGGATGATGATGACTTTCTAGACTACTCTCGAATAGACTATCATGGAATGAAAAATAAATTGCAAAACACTTCCTAGAGGGAGTTAATAGGTGGTCAAGTTTTGAAGCATCATGGAAAATAAAAAAAAAGGTGATTACTGAATTTGTTCTAAAATATGTCCCAAAAAGAAGAAACAAAAGAAAGATAACTATATGGATTACACAGGCAGTAGAAAAGCTCAAATAACTAAGTAGAATCTCTGGATAAGGTATCAATCCACAAAGAACAACAAAGATTATGATATGCAAAGAAGGGCTTCAAATTCAGCCACACAGGAAATCAGATCAGTCAAAAGAAACTTCGAAAGAAAACGATAAAAACACAAAGAAAGATCCAATGTCTTTATAAGAAGTAAACCCAAAACAAAGGACTCGGTAGCACCTTTAAGAGATGAGACCAACCAAGTTATAATAGACGTAATACATATCATACGATGGCAGCAAACGCTCTGAACGAATACTTTACATGTGTCCACATTAGAGAGATTACACAACATCCCAATACCCACACAAATGTCTAAAGCAGGCGAAGGGAAGGAATTAAGTGATATTCCCATAACGTGATATTATCAGGTAGAGCACTGACAAACTACAATTGAAGAATCTAAAAATGATTACATTATAAATTATAACATTTACTATGTATAAAATTATAATTATAAATTATTATCTAAAAAATTATATATTATAAAATAAACAAAATTAATTAAAAGATTCTAAAGCTCCTGTGAAAGGAATTCAATCCAAAGTTGTAAAGGAACTGAACTGTGTCTACTACTGAAACGCCTTTTCAGAAAATCTCTGGACCAAGGGACAGCTCCCCTAGAATGGAATTATGAAAGTTTCACACTTACTAAAAAAAAAAAAGGCATAAGGAACTCAGATGAAGACTACCGTCTCATCAGCCTGACTTCGCATATCTATCTGCAAGCTCACGGAGAGAATGCTAGGGGGCAAGAAATAATTCACCATCTCATTGTGAACAATCTAATAAAATCAACGCAACATGGATTTGTTAAATATAAATCTTTCCTTAACATTTTTGGAAACGGTAACCAGCTATTCAAAAAACTTTCTGTAGATGTGGTATACATGGACTTCGCTAAAGCTTTTAATAACGTACCACATGAAAGGCTAGCAAAAATATTACAAGCACATAGAAAAAATAGTTGAATCTTATAGAATGGATAAAATAATGGTTAAAACAAATGAAGGAAAGTGTCCTTAATGGGAATAAATCAGCCTGGAGGAATGTAGTGAGTGGCGTACCGCAAGGTACCATATTGGGGCCAGCCCTTTTTGTCATGTACATCAATGACATAGATGAGAATATTACAAACTACATTTTCAAATGTGCAGATGGGATTAAGATACTTTTGGCAAAGTAGGTACCATAAAGATACTTATAGTAAAGTAGGAAACGAAAATTATATTGAAACCTTACAAAGATCTACATGATTTTTTTTTGTTCGCGGATATTAAATTTTTTGATGGCAGAATTGGATTTTTTGTTATTAACAAGCTTAGGTATACACAGCAATGTGCTCCTACCCTATTCTATATGAAAAATTACACAGTGTAGAAAAAAACTAGCTATAAGTTCATCTAACATTCCATCTCACAGGATGGTTAGTCATACATGGAATTAGGAGAGAAAATACCGGCCTCAATACAAACAAATTAATTAAATTTTACTAAATAATAACTTCATGATTTTTATTAGAGATGAGCACTGAATCATGGAAATATTATATTATGATTGTTTTTTACCAGTTTCTATAAGGTTCCTCTCAAATAATGTCTTTTTTTGGGGATTTGGAATTTTGTAGTTGGCGGATTTTTTTGTGGATTTATATTTTTTGTTGGTGGATTTGGATATTTTGTTGGAGGATTTGTTATATTTTTTTGTTGGCGGTTTTTATTTTTTTCCGGATTTGGATTATTTTGTTGGCGGATTTGTTTTTCGTTAGTTTTGTTATTTTTTGTTGAATATCCCCTTTGTTATGCCCATTCATCCACTTGTACAGTTCAATCGTGTCACCCTTAACTAGAGAAAAAAAATCACCCATGACGTTTCGCTTTTCTAGAGAATGTAAATTAATGTAAATTGCAGTGGTTTACCCATTTGCAACAAATGTACATTAGGTATGTTTATAGTCATAGTAGGCCTACATAGGGAGCTTCTTCCTATGTATCAACCCTGGTTTTGTGCCCTGGAAAGGCCTCACTCCAGGGCGCAACTCCATGGGCTCCTAAAACTGATATATGCCTACATATGATTGTTTTTTTTTATAGTTACAAGTCAATGACACAATTATGGGCTCAGGAACTGCTGAACACCAAAATTAATTTAGTTTAGTTTCGTGCATTTCCTATGCATCATTTATCTAAGCGAGGCACAGTGTTGCCTAGGTATGTGTAAATAAAGAAATTCAACTCCATCTGTAACATTAGTGAGGTAGTCGAGGAGTTACTCTATATGAAGTACTCTGAGGTACTCTGTGTGATACTCTATGAGGTACTCTATGAGATACTTACTCTAAGATCCTCTATGAAGTACTCTATGAGATACTGTACTCTGAGGTACTCTATGAGATACTCTATGAGATACTCTATGAGGTTCTCTATAAGGTACTCTATGAGATACGCTATGAGGTACTCTATGAGGTACTCTATGATATACTTTCCGAGGTACTCTATGAGGTACTCTGATATACTCTATGAGATATTCTATGAGGTACTCTTCACTGGAGCGGATTAGGCTGCCACAGGTGGCGTCTCAGAATGTTTGGTAATATGTTTATTGTTTGTGATGTGTGTATATATATATATTAACACGATGTACTGAACGGGGGGAGAATAGCTTGAGCTACTTCATCCCTTTGTGTGTATTTTACCTCAATAAACTTATTTCAATTTCAATTTCAGGTGGCGTCATCTGGAGGCGTCTGGCAGCGTCACTGGGGTCCGCGCTGCCACCTGCTCCCCGTAGACCACCAGTTGGTCTCGTGGCACGGTAGGGTGCGGGTGTCATGCCCTTGTTCTCTGCTATAGTCATCTTTTTATACCGTCATATAGAGATATTAGCTGAAGTTAATTTGCTATTGACCTTTACTCAGTAATTTACGTAGACTAAGGTAACCGCACAATGCTTATATAAGTTACTGTTTTGGAGGGTGGGATAGCTTCACGACGAGGGTAGAATCAATTATAGAATTGTAAATACTGTATAAATGTGCCTTTAATAGCTAGAACTAGAAATTCACACTACTTTGTCTAGTAAACAAATTCAGATTTGCCTAACAGCGAGATTATATTTGAAATATGAATTACTGACAGGTTAAGTTTGGCCAAT